CTCTTCCCAGGCTCTCCCCTCCTGGCCCTGCATGGCTTCCTTCCGCCTGGCCCTTCTCTCTCGTAACAGGGAGTCTGGCTTTCAAGATTGTCATCCAGACATAGAATTTGAAGCTTAAAGCTGAGCGCTTTGTCTGGGCCGTGTGGGGTAAAGGTTCTGATGGCCTGGACTGGTCATCTGCCCCCAGCCCCTTCTCTGTAGAACCATGGTACCTGCCAGGGGTGATTTAGATGCCTCAGTGGCATTCTGGAGCCACAAGGGGGCTCTCCAGGAGGCAGGGCTGTGATGGAAATTGTGGTCTGTGGTGCACTCGGTGCAGACTCCCAGTCCCTCCTAGGGAGCAGTTTCCTTTTGCAGGGCGGTCCCTTGTGGCCCTACAGAGGGGTTCAGGTCTGCCGGCCTTGGGTCTAAAGTGCCAGTTCCAACAGCATCTCCTGTCGTAAGTGGAGGATAGGGTGAGGTGCCCAGTCTCTGCCGCTGCTGGGAGGGCCTGGAGTGGCAATCAGCCCTCGGTCCCTGTCGCCTGGGTTCAGGCCACCGTGGGCACCGGGCCCTGCGCTGGGGGAGTGGTGAGGGGCTTGAAGGGAATCAGGGTCCTGTACTGAGGCTGCACTGGTAGGTGGCAGGAAGTGGGGAAGACCAAATGTTTCAGGCAGAGGCACTGCTTGGCCTCTGGGTGTGGATGTCGGGATGTCAGGAGAGCTTCCTGGAGAAGTGGGGGAGGCTGCTCCCATGGTGAGCCCTGAACATGCTGCCTGAGGCCTTCCCTCCTCTCCATGCTCTGTTCTAGACCTGGATAGGGGCCCAGAGAGCCAGTCTACAGCCGAGCCAGGACCATGCCGGGACCCCACGAGGAGCCTTGGAGTCCGGTGTCCGGGAGGCCATTGCTTTGCTCACCTATGACCCAGCGGATGCCGGGCAGTCAGGGGGCCTGGAAGAGGAGGAGGAGGCCAGCACCGGCCTCCCAGCATATGTGTTGCCAGCAGGGCGTATGGAGTGGGGAGGGCAGCCGCCCGCCTACCTGCCGCAGGAGGACTGGGTCCCTGCAAGCCCTACCAGGCCAGCTCTCCCACGGCCCGAGGACAGTAGCAGCGACTACTGTGCCCTGGGCTGCTACGGGGGTGGCTACCCCTTGGCCTTCACAGGAAGCACACAGAGCTCGGAGCCTAGCCTGGCCTGGGCCTGTGGGCTTTCCTGTGACCAGCAGAGCCTGGATGCCCGGCCAGGAGGCAGCTGTGTGGGCATTAGTCACAATCAGAGGCAGGATGCTGGTGAACAGGCCATATGAGGCCCTCCTCCCCTTGGCAGACAGTCCCCACAGCGCTGCAGCAGGAACACGGACTGAAGTCGCCGGAGCTGACCCTGGACTGGCACTGGACCTCTGGTCGGGGGCCACCTACACAGTGGTCACACATCCGGTCTGGATGGAGGAAGGAGGGCTCTCCCCTCTCTGCCTCTCCGCGCGTGGGGCTCTGCTCTCAGCATCCTGCCAACCAGGCCCCCAGCCCACCACTTCCCTCCTTATTTCCTGGCTTAACCCCAGGCCCCTCTGAGAAGACGGGTGTCTGTGCCACAGCCTGTTCTTCCATTCCCTCCTTAAAGGGCCAGCCTGGGCCAGTGGACACAGGTGGCATGCTGTGACCAGACCAAGTGTCATCTCTCTGTGTCTTCCTGAGGTACCTCCCCTACTGAGATGTTCCAGATTAATGGCTAGGGGAGGGCCTTGGAGGACGTGTTGTGGGGGGGACAGTGTCTGGCTATTCCTGGGTTTTCTCGGCTCCAGGAATAGCAGGAGGGGAGGCCTCCTGCTCCTCCTTGTCCTCATCCTCCCGTGGGTCCCAGGAGGCTGAGAGCTGTGGCCAGAGCTCCCAGTCAGGGCCAGAAGTGACTACCCAGCAGTGGCCTTGTTCAGTGAAGGGCCCTGCCGCCACCCAGCACCCCATGGTCTGGATAGAAGAGGGACAGAGCAGAGGGCGCCTGTATCTGTCTCCTGTGGCGGCCATAACAACGTAACCACAAACTAGCTGGCTGAGAACAATAGAAATTTGTCACCTCTGCACTGCTCCAGTCCTGACAAGGCGTCTTCTGCGTGTGTGTGTGTGTGTGTGTGTGTGGATCCCTCCTTTTTATAGAAACACATAGTAGATGGGGGCTGACCTGATGACTTACTTTATCTTGACTTGATCATCTGCAAAGACCCTGTTTCCATGTAAGGTCATTTTCATGTGGACTAAGGGTTTAGACCTCAGCATATGAATTTCTGGGGAGCACAGTTCAACTCAACAGTGTCCCTGCCTCTGCCAGCCCTTCTGGCTAGCCCAAGGGACTGTGGCCCCTCCCGTGGCAACCCCATCACCCTTGCTGAGGGCCCCAGGCAGAAGGTCCTCTCCCTCTGGCTGCCGGACTTGAGCCTGGTATGGGGGTCACCGCCCAGTGAGGGCTGGCATGAGCTTGTTCTGGGGTTGGAGGTGATGACACTTGGAAGACAGGATGCAATGGAGGCCTCTCTCTCTCTGGGTGCTGAGCCAGAGAGGGTACTTCTTTGGAGGGGCTCCAGGGTCCCCTGTGGCCTGGGCAGAATGGGACTTACAGCCCCAGGCCCCCAAAGGCAATGGTCTCTTCTGGCTCAAATAGGCATCCCCTCCCCTCTGCGTGGCTGCGGAGCCCTGAGGTTTGGTGGGGAGCCTCAGCAGAGCCGGGTCCTGGTCAGCAAGGACGAGTAGGACCCAGAATGTATCTTTATTACCCAGAGAGTGGGGGGGTGTGGACGGAAGTGAGGCACAGGCATCCTCAGCTCTAACCAAGTGTAAAAATACTAAGCGTGGGTCCACTTCCTGAAGCCGCGCCTGGGAGCCCCCCGGCTGGTGTATTTATAACAGCATCTGCCTCCTATCTCTTCATGTGGGGCCTGCGTCCCCTGTGGGATCAGACAGCTGGGACACCTCTTCTGTGTGGCCAGGGACCCTGTTCACTTGATTCACACACTTTGTCCTGGGGGCATCTGAGTGTGACGCCACTTAGAGGCTGTGTGACTGTGGGTGACCACGCTGCCCCTCAGTACGCGGGACCTCCTCAAGTGTCTGTGAGTTCCTCTAGGCCAGAAGCCTGCACACCGCGCTGCTCGGAAGACACTAACTTCCCCCTAATCAGATGGGGCAACCCTCGGAAACCGTGCGCTGAGATCTGGTTTAAGGCAGAGCAAGGTTCGAAAGACCCTGTGAGTCCTGGTGAGGGGGCTGCTCATTGCTGGGCATCGAGGAAGAAGTCAGAGAGAAGGGGCCTGGGGGTCGACTTAGGGAGCTGCTGGTGGAGAGGAATGGAGTGGACCGTGTGGCTGGCCAGGCCCCAGGCAGCGGCTGGCTGGAGGGAGGCCTTAGGGCCAGGTTGAGGGAGGGTGAGGGACGGGAACTCACCCCAGTCAGGGCATGCTTTCTTTTCTTTGGTTTCAATGAGGTCAGATTCACATAATACAAATTAACTATATCTGAATTGTATGATTTGGTGACATTTAGTATGTGAATGACATTTGAAACCAGCACCTCTGTCTAGTTCCAAGACATCCTCAGTCTCCAGAAGGAGACCCTGCCCCTCCCACCCTCCTTCTGTCCTCGGTGACCACTGGTCTGCTTTGTCTCTGGATTTACCACTTGTGGACGTTTGATAGAAGTGGAATCACACAGTACGTGGCCTACCGTGTTCATTTTTTTTCTCTTAACGTAGTGTTTTTGAGGCTCATCCACATTGTAGTGTCAGTGCCTCAGTTCTTTTTTGTGGCTGAATTATTACCCCAGTGTGTGGATGGACTACGTTCTGTTTATCCATTCATCTTGAGGTGGATGTTTGGGTTATTTCCACCTTTTCACTTGTTCTTCTTTTTAACATTTTTATTGATTTATAATCATTTTACAATGTTGTGTCAAATTCCAGTGTAGAGCACAATTTTTCAGTTATACACGAACATATATATATTCATTGTCAGTTTTTTCTCTGTGAGCTACCATAAGATCTTGTGTATGTTTCCCTGTGCTATACAGTATAATCCTGTTTATCTATTCTACAATTTTGAAATCCCAGTCTATCCCTTCCCATCCCCCGCCCATTTGGCAACCACAAGTTTGTATTCTATGTCTATGAGTCTATCTCTGTTTTGTATTTATGCTTTTTTTTTTAAGATTCCACATATGCGCGATCTCATATGGTATTTTTTTTTCTTTCTGGCTTACTTCACTTAGAATGACATTCTCCAGGAGCATCCATGTTGCTGCAAATCCTTTTCACTCTTGAGAACAGTGCTGCTCTGAACATTCCTGTACAACTTTTTGTTTGAATATCTGTTTTCAGTTCTTTTGTGTATATTCCTAGGGGTGGCCTTTGTAGATTATAAGTTAATTCTATGTTTATCTTTTTGAGGATCTGTCAAACTGTCTTCCAAAGTGGCTGCAACATTTCACATTTCCATCAGTAATATACTAGGGTTCCAATTTCTCCATATCTTTGCCAACTTGTTATGTCCATTTTTTTGATAACAGCTATTCTAACAGATGCGAAATGACCCCTCCCTGTGATTTTGATCTGCAGGTCCCTGACGGGTAGTAATGTTGTGTGATTTGTGTATCTTCTTTGGAGGAAAGTCTGCTCAAGTCCTTTGTCCATTTTAAATTTGGTTTATTTACCTTTTTGTTGCTGAGTTGTAAGAGTGCTTTATATATTCTGGAGACAAGACCTCTTATCAGACATACAATTTGCAAATATTTTCTCCCATTCTGTACGTTGTCTTTTTACTTTCTTGATAGTGTCCTTTGAAGCACAAAAGTTTAAATTTTGATGAAGTCTAATTTATTTATATTTTTGTTTTATTGCCTGTGTTTTTGGTGCCATACCCAAGAAATCATTGCCAAGTCCAATGCCAGTAAACACACGAAAAGATGTTCAATGGCTGTCCCATTAGGCACCCCACCAGCAGTGAATGAAAGTTCCTGTTACAACTGCTAATTAACAAAACTTAATTCAATACAGATTTTATTCATTTCCAATGTTAATTTAAGTCAGCATTTTTTGCTCCACCATCGAGTTTTTTCCATACATTTCTTTTTTTCCCCACACATTTCTAATACAGTTAGATTCTGTGTCACATTGCATAGTCCATCCTATGACACTCCTTAATCCATATTCTGGTCCCCTTGACATGGATGTACCCCAGTTTGCTTATGCATTCATCTATTAAAGGACATCCTGATCTCTTCAAGTTTTTACCCACTGTGAGTAAAGCTGCTATGCATAATTACAGCCTTGTTTGCATTTGGACATAAGTTTTCAAAGCATTTGCTGGAAGCAAGATTGTTGGATCCCAAGGTGAGACTTGTTTAGCTTTGGGGGAAACCGCCCACCTGTCTTATGAAGTGGCTGTACGTGCATTCCACCAGCAATGAAGGAGAGTTCTTGTTCCTCACCACCAGCAACTGGTATTTTCATATTTTTGGAGTTTAGCAGTTCTAATAGGTGTGCTGTGATAGCTCATGATTTTAATCTGTAATTCCTTAATAGTGCAGGATGCTGAGCGTATCTGTACGTCTTCTTTGGCTAGGCACCTGTTCAGATCTTTACCCACTTTTATGGGGTTGTTTTAGAGTTCTTTGTATATTTTGAGTCCAAATCCTTTATCAGATATGTGCTTCACAAATATTTTTCTCTCAGTTTGTGGCTTGTCTTTTGGTTTTTTTGAATAACGTCTTTCCTAGAGTAGAAATCTTTAATTTTGTAAAGTCTGTTACATTCCTTGTTTTTCTGTTGTAAGTTGGCTTTCTGTGTTGTGTGATAAAACTCAAAGCTCATGATCTACATGACTGAACCCAAGGTCATGTAAATGTTCTTCCATGTTTACCTCTATAATTTCAATAGTTCTGCATTTCAAATTTGTCTATCGATAATTTTGAGTGAGTTCGGTATAAGTCATAAGGCTTACGGCTACACTCACTTCATTCCATACGGTCTCCCATTAATTGTTCCTTAACTATTTTTGGAGACGTTAAGGGACATTGTCTCCATTTCAGTTTGAATTTCCAGTTTAATGGATTCAGCACTTCTGCCAGCAGGGGGCAATGTCTCCACTGGACTGTGAACTTGGCCCTGCTCTCTCTGCACTGACCACAGGGTGGCGCTGAGCCTGCACCTCTTACCCATGTGGCTTCCACCATGGACTTGGCTCTGTGCTGAGGAGCTGTCTCTCCTCAGGCCCCACCAGGGCTGCGCTCTGGGGAAAAACTGCAGGTCAGCGTCTATGCAACAGGAGCTCAGTCTCCTTAGGATTCTGGGGCTGTGGCTTCAGGACAAGGCGGGGCTGCGTCCATGCTGACAGAAGCTGGATTTCCTGATGACCCTGGTGCTTCCAGGAGGAAAAGCTGAGGACAAGTGGGGAGAAGCTCCCTGTGTGCAGCTGACTGCTGGGGGGTCGGGTGAGTCCATCTTCAGACGACCCAGGTGGGCTTGGGGTGTGGAAAACTGGGGTTTTATCTGTTTTGTGTCTGGTGTAGACAGCACGTGGCATGTGGTGTCCTCTTTTCCCAGCACTGCCTGCTGAGGGCGCTGTCCTTCCCCTTGGGGTGTTCCGGCCACATAGGTGTAGGTTTATTTCTGGGCTCTGTGTTCTGTTCCTCTGCTCCACGTGCCTGTTTTCATCCCAGTTCCACACTGTTTTGGTGACCGTAGCTTCGTATTGTAGTGTGAAGTCAGGAGATGCCTCCAGCCTGTTCTTTCTTAGGCCACTTTGGCTATTCGGGGTCCTTTGTGGTTCCACACAAATATTAGGGTGATTCGCTCTATTTCTGTGAATAATGCCATTGGGATTTTGATAGGGATTGTATTCACTGTTTATACAGTCCTTAGGGTAGAATGGACATTTTAACAAAATTAATTCTTCCATCCATGAGTTCGGGGTATCTTTCCATTTATTTGTGTCTTTTTCAATTTCTTCATCAATGTTTCAAAGTATTCAGCGTGCAGGGCTTTCATGGCCTTGGTTAAATTTACTCCTAGGTATTTTGTTCGTTTTGATGCAATTATAAATAGGACTGTTTTCTTTCTCTTTCTGATGGTTCATTATTAGTGTTTAGAAATGCAGATGATTTCTGTGTATTGATTTTGAAACTTCTGAATTCATTTATTATTTCTAATTGGTTTGTGGTAGAATGATGTGAAAAATTGGAATTAAAAAAAATACCACTGTTTCTACCACACCCAGGTCATCCACAGCACAGAAGAGAGTGGATCCTCATAAAGCCTTTCCACAGTGCCTCTAAATTGTGTGGAGCTTGGGTGAACTGGATCCGGGTAAGGCTTGGCTTCTGTGTGGAAATCTGCTGTTTTCTTAGCATTTCTGGCATGGTATTGACATGGTGTCTTGAAAAGTAATTTACTTTCCAGTAATTTCAAACGTACAGACAACTTTACCTCCATAAAAACAAGTCTTGTATGTTGATGAAATATATTCCTGGATAGAAATATTGATGTTATTGGAAATGGAAGTGGTTTCATGAATTATTTTTCAGATTATTTATTGTGAGTGTATACAAAAAAGATAGACTATTATGAATATGTAACTTTGCTGAATTAGTTGATTAGCTTAAATATTTTTGTGTTGATTATAGTAAGTTTTATATATGAGAGGATGTGATCTGAGTTCCCTGAATAGACACAGTTTTCTTTTTTTCCATTTACACACGTATGGCTTTTTTTCTCAAAACTGGGTAGAACTTCCAGTATACTGTAACAGCGGTGAAGGCCAGGTTTCAGGCTTTGCTCCTGACTCAAGAATTAAATCCTTCTGTCTTTAACATTGAACATGTTTGCCCTAGCTTTGTGTACTACTATTTCCATATAGAACTAGACCAGGGTCACACAGAACTCAGGAGTTGAGCTGGACATTGTGTTTCTGGCCCCTCCCTCCCCCATCCTGGGCATAATGTGGTATGGTATCTGCATCTTCTCTGGCCAGGTGTCCATTCAGATCTTTCCCTATTTGGAATAGGGTTGTTTGCATTAGAGTTCTTTGCATATTTTGAGACAAAATCTTTCTGAGACATGTGCTTGCAAATAATTTTACTCCTAGTGTGTACTTGTATTCCAATGTCCTGAACAACATCTCTCACAGAGTAGAAACATTTCATTTGATAAAGTCCATAGTATTGCTTATTTTCCTTTGTAGATTGCCTTTTTGTGTCGTGTGTTGAAACTCAAAGCTTAGGTTCTACGTGACCAAATCCGAGATTATGTTGACTTTCTTCTATGTTTTCTTCTATATTTTATGGAGTTTTGCGTGTCAAATTTGTCTCTAAAAACGTTTGAGGGAATGTGGTATAAGACAAGGTTTGCAGCCTCATTCACTGCATTCCATGTGATCAGCAGTGAATGGTTCCTTAACTATTTTAAAGAAGTTATGGATGGTTGGCTTTCTTTCAGTTTGAATTTCCAAAG